GGCAGATGATTCATATCATCTGCCCAACGTCGGAGGTTTTATATCTTCAGAATGAAAACCACTTGGAGTAGTAACTATCTTCATTGCTAAGGTTTCTGTATACAGGTATCCCTTGATTAACGCGGTTAATCCCTCGATCCTACCACGTATATCAAAATCGCGTTAATCAAAACATATCTATGTTAAGTAAAGACAGCTGATAAAGCCGCTTAAATTAAAACTTCTGCCGCGTATATAAAGAGATTAACGCGCAGAATTAATTGCGAAAATCAAATTCCGCGTTAAGCAAGGGATACCTGTAGTATAAGTGCCTTATAATAATCAAATGTTTGTTGCTTGCAGCGTCAAGAGTGTCGAAGTGGTAGTTTTTAATAATTTTCTACGTAAATGGTTTTTGTATGTTCTGAAATGTAACCAGATTTGGTTGCATTTAGAGTGTTAAATATCTTCTTCATAGTTTTGATTAGAGTATTTTAATTACGATTCGGTCTTGCCTTGATACGGTCGTATAAAAAAATTTACTGAAAATTTGAGATAGCGCTAACTCATAACGCCATCCAGTGGCAATGTTTAGAGTTAATCGTATTCATCGTTATATACTGTATGTGTATTCAATTCGGCAAGATACATATACAGTTGACCCCCCATAACACTGTTGATAATTCCGTTTTATATGTATTCCATGTTGTACGAGTCACTTAGATATTACAAATACGTGAGCCGTTCACAGCCCGGCACACGTATTTGTAAAATCTAAGTGACTCGTACAACATGGTAAAACGGAATTATCAACAGTGTTATGGGGGGTCAATTGTAGTCTTACATTATCTAAGCTTGAGAAACATGTATAATTAATGTGATTACGTTTTGAATAGTATAACATTTTTTGCATGTTAATTAATTAATGAGAAAAACATATAAATGTAGTAATTTAACAAATGTATAATTTTTAGTATTATACCGGTTAGAAATTGATTATTATTATTCATATTCTTTTAAAGATTAAATAAAGTGTAACATGTCGACGATAAAACAGTTTCTACCATTTAGAGAGAGGCAAGTACTAGGCAAGTACTGTACTGTACGTGAGATTGCACTTACATCGGTGACCTCGTGACGTTCATGCTTGACCAGAAAATTTCCCTTAAGTCTCATTTTTTAAATATTTTGGCAAATGGCTTATTTTAAACTTATTTCATTAAATTTAAAAATGAGAGCCGCGTCGTGTCACTTCTATAACAATTTTTTTTAATGTTTCCATAGTTGCCACGTGACGTTCTATTATCCAATCGGAAGTAACGATCTATAAGCCCGTTATTTATAAAATGTTATCGCTCATCTAACTAACATCTGTATATACTGTACAATTCATTTTTTTTTATCAACGTGGAATTAAACAGACTCGTTGTTTTGGTTTAAAAAATGCCTATGTGAAAGCATAAGAGTAAATAAAATTGGTCAGGTAAATTCTAGATCTAAAAGAACAGGAACAACTGAGACCCCCGAAGGCCCTAAAGTCCGACTTGAGCAACATCGAATAAGAATGGCTTTGTCAGGGGGAATCACAACGTCATGCTTGACGGGAGAATGTCTAGTTCATTTATAAAATGAATGGATGAATATGTAACTTGTATTTGATATTTGTTGAGGATTCTCGATGCACAAATTAAAAGCTGATTATTTATCAGCGCTCTATATAATAATAATTAGTCTAGTATTTTTATAGAATATACAAATTAAATGAAGGAAAATTGGATTGATAGATAGGAAGTGTAATGGACGTATGTGGACACTGTAGTTAAGGGAACAGAGGGGGTTATTTTTCCAAAATTTTACGCAAATAAAAAACACAAGTACGAATTTTTAATTTGCCGTCACTGGTAATTCGTTAACTTTCTCTGTCCTATTCTCCCCTAATTTTCCTCAGTGTTTTTTTCAGATTTGGGAGATAGTTCCTCCCTCGTAGGGTTTCTCATTTCCCGGTCTTTTACTTGTCCCGGGATCCCGGGATAAAAGTGAACTGTATCCCGGGAAATCCCGGGATAGAATTAATTATTTTTAAGGTATACAAAATATCTTGAAATCAAATGATATAATTATTTTCCATTTTTTAAAGTAATTTTAAAGTTCTGTAACCTCCAAAATCATATTAATAATGCTGTGTAAGGTCTATAGGCCTATAATAAAAATTACCTTTAAATAACGTAGAAATTTTCACAAATAGAAAAAAATTAATTAAAGTTTGCTGGAAACTGCATACAACAACAACAAAAAAAAATTTTTTGAATTGAGTTAAAAATTAAAAAAATGAACTTCTAATTTAGAAGGTAATTTTCGTTTTTTAAATAAAATATAATACAAAATATTGCAAACTTTTATAAGATTTTAAAAAGCAAAGATGGTCAATACTCCGATAACTCACTCTAATTCTTATTTTAGTAATGAAAAGTCTTGCCACCGAGAATGCCCTTTCCGATTCAATTGATGTGATTGGAATAGTGTTTAATGCATTTAAGAGAAGACAGATATTATGTGTTTTTTCACCTGTAGCCTGGAAGCTTTCGAGTTCGTTTTCGAGATTGTAGTACTTCTTTCGCTCTCTAGTATTCTTGATTTGTCTACCTTGGCTGCTTTAATAGCGGCATCAAGCTTAGAGCTCGATAATTCGGCAATTCATTTGGCTTTAATAATCAGGTTTATGAAGAAAAACTTCATACTTGCAGACTTTGTACTCGTTTGTATCCTTGCCCAATTTGCACAATCTGGCGTCAGGCATTTATTGAAGCTACTGGGCATGGTTAAAACTCAAGACAGCGTAAGCACAATTATTCCAGATATTACAGGTTCCGACAAGTAAAGAATTTTTATAGTCCTGCCACAAATAAGCTATATATTGATTATTGACCATTTGTGACATGCTATAACGAGCAAAAATTAAAAAAAAACTAATAGGTAGGTTTAAAATTAATAAATACAAATGTATTTTGACAGTGAATGAGTTAATTATGCTTTCTATTTGCAAAATTCCTCAACCTTAACACAAAATAAGAAAAAAAGTGAACTTTTAAGAAATTTGCGGGATTTCCCGGGATAAGAAAAATTTCCCGGGATATTTCCCGGGTTAAAAAAAACAACCGGGATCCCGTTTGAGAAACCCTACTCCTTCGGCTCGTATGCAGTGGCGCATTTAGAAATATGGCGTCCACAATATGCTCCCACACTCATAGTACGTACCACTTTTGCACCGAATGATTCTATTTTGTAAATTTATTTTTACAGATTTTTAAATATCAAGAAGACAAAGGGTACTGCTACGAGAGCCCGTCATTACTACTACCACTATCACTATCACTACCACTCTGTTCATGCTAAAGATATCCATACACTAATATTACTCAACTGATAATCTTATGTGGAAATAATTCATAATAGTATTTGTTTTTTCTTTATTTTTAAAAATTTTTGCGCTTCTAGGCCCGTTCCTAATGGGAAATCTGCCGTTGCTCATATGTCAATCGGAAGTGCTTCATTTTGGCCTGAGTTATAAGAAAGTTGTCAATTATGTCTTTCGTTAAATAAAAATCTAAACTATAAGATAATTCCGGAACGCTTATACTGTATAATAATTTTTCTAGTATTTCGAAATTAAGGAAAATGCCAAAAATCGAGTTTATGACGGAGGAAATATAAGAAGGGAAATAAAGTAGAAGATTAGTATTTGGGCAGATGGCCATAACATTTACCATGTTAAATTTACGAGCGGTATTTAACAAATCTTCATTTTCTACCAAAATATAATATATCACAAAGTGCTAATTTTGTGCTGGCTAGTTATAAATTCTTCATTATTGTGAAATAATTTATTTAAAGACATTAAAATATATTAATTGATAAGTTAATTTAAAAGCATATAAGATGCAATTTGTTAGCAGTTAATTTTTTTTCAGATTTAACTTATAAACTTATTAGTTTAGAATGTCATTTTACAAATTAATTAAGAACTTATCAGTAAATTAGGAACGAATGGAGAGAGTCTAAACTTGACTGCGATACTTTATCATAAATTATTACAGTTTAATATAGTTCATTAGTTGGATTTTATCATCCTAAAACGTGTAAGATTTTTTAATTCTATGTTATCACAGGAAAAAAATGCAATTTTAGAAAATAATATCTGTCTGATATTATTAATTTTCGATTTGTAAGTGCAAATTGTGTGTGTTTGAAGTAAAAAAAAAAGAATTCTCCAAAATTTGGATATTTTTAAAATGTATTAATTACATTTAAAATGATGATTTCATAATTTTTTTAATAAATAAAAAAGATCAGAATATTAAAAATCGAAACACAACTAAATGGAATGAAATAAAACTGACTAAGTTAATCATTATTATTATTTTTTAAAGTAAATGACACTTTTGTATGTGATAAATACTTTCAAATTTAACAAACTACAATTTATTAATATTAAATTGATTTCACTCTGGAAGAATTATTGTCCTTTTATAACTTTGTGTAGTATTATTAAAAAAATTTCATTGATAAAACGGAGTTAACACATAAAACAAGATTATTTTTTGTACATCGAAAGTTTATTGTGCATTTTTATAGTTTGTTTTAGATCCGAATAGTTGTAATAAGTCTAGAAAACTGCGGTTTTTCGAACAGCGGATAGACTTTTTGTGACAAGTAATACAAAAAAAAAATGACCACTTTAGATCATAACTCTCTTTCGGAATCAATCAATGACACGATATTGATCTGATATTTCAGATTTCGACAAAGTACTTTTATCCATTTTTGTTTAAAAGTAGTTTAAAACTTAACAATAAATTAAATTAATTTAGTTCTGTAAAAATAAAATGGTAATTGCATTTTGCATAAGTTTTTTCCCCCTCTTTTTTTCATAAACTTAATATAGTTTAATAGCATAAATCTCTAGGTAATAAACGTAATTTTAATTACAAATTAAGATATATTGCCTTACTTTATGTTTATAGATAAAGGAGATCTTTATACGATTGGTTCCAATCGTTATGGGCAGCTCGGTTGGGGACAAATTGGCCTTTCGCACAACATGCCCTGCAAGGTTCAATTTATAAATCATCAGAAGTTTAAACGTGTTTCTTGCGGTAATTCGTTCACCATAGCTGTAACCGAAGGTAAATATTAATGTAACATTACGTACTTCCGATAATGATGATAAAATACAGTTTAATATATATAAATAGCGGGAGAAGTTTATAGCTGGGGTGAAAACTCGAACGGCCAGTTGGGAAGAAACAGTTCTAATCTGAACAAACCAGGAAAAATTGAAACAATTAATGCAAAGTACTTCAAAAGCTGTTCTCTAGTCTCAAGCGATACATGTACCCTTTTATGTTTATCAGGTAATATTATTTAATATTCTAAAATGTTTCAAAACGTATAAAAAATATTTGTCAATATATAAATTAATTTATAATATTTGTTTATAGGTAACCAATGAAATTCTCATGTTAATAATGATAATGAAATTCTGCCAATTGTTACTAGTCACACATCATTTTGTATTTATAAAATATTTATATGTATGTGTGTGTATATATATAATTTTTTGATGTAACTTTACATTGGAAAATAAACGTATAGTATTTTTTTATTAGAATATATAGGCCTACATATATTTTTATTTATGTTAGTAAATGAATAATAATAAAAGTGTGCGTAACTTAAAGATTTAAGAAATTTATTTACTTATTATTTTATCTATAATTGCTACAATAAATTATTCAAAAAAGTAATGATAATTTAATATATTCTACAATAGGTATACAGTATTTAAAATTCTGTTATACAGTTTTCTCAGTTGTAGTTGCGAAACTTTGAAAATTAGGCTAAAGTATTAAGTATAACATATAAAATTTTAAGCAGTTTTTAAATAATGTATATGTTATGTTATTTGCGATATTTTTTTCCATAAAGAATGAACAGTGTTTTAAATCATATAAAATGTACTCTGTTGCAAAAAAATCGAGGCACCTTGAGTCGGCTTGCAATAGTAATCACATTCTGCACGTGGAATGATTGTGAAAAAATAAAAAATTATTACAGTATCACAAGAATACATTATTGAATTAGTTTTGTTAATTTCTGATTTGTTACATTTTTGATGAATGTAACTGCGAACGAATGAACATTGACCAATGTCGGAGATGGTTTTATATATTACTAATATGCAACAACCGTGGTAAATTTGTTCTTCAACGATGTAACCCTGTGCTGTTTCATATTATAATGCTTTTTTTTATTTTTCACTATCGTTCAACGTGTAAACTTTTATACTATTGCATGCTACTTTAAAGACTTTTTTACAACAAAGAGTATAATGCAAAATTTTAATATCATCATCATGTTTTATATTTTTATAGATTTTGTTTCATGTCGAAGTATATTACTTTATCATCAAAAATTCGTGATTACATATAAATTTTTAAAACTATTCCAGTTGATTAAACAAAAGTATAACTTATAAAAAGCGATTTATAAATTTTTTAGTGTAGTTTCAAATATTGATTAAATTTATGCTATTTTTTTTTTATAAATTACGCGTATAAAAATAAAGTATTTTAATTAGTTAATATTAAATTGTAAAAGATGACGTGACTAAGCAATAAATACGTGTTAAATTTAAAAATCGTTTTGAAGATGAAAAATTTACACAATATATAAAAATAAACAATACAATTATTGTAGATAATTTAATATTAAAAATTACGCGTTAAGAAAGATATAGACGCGAGGAGAAGAAATAAAAATTCGACAGCAATACTAATAAATTTTTCTACGCACAATTTACAACTTGATATTTTGTGTCGGCTGTCAGCGAAGTGACGTTTTTTCTCGTGGAGTGGGAAATGACCATTGTGTTTCGCTACATAAACTCCTATAGCTCTACCCCGGGATAGGAAGAAGTAAAGATAACGAAGTTTTTTACTTGAATGTCTTCTGCTCAGATTCACCTTCCGGCTCGTAATTAATTCAACGACAAAAGAAACACAATAGCCACAACTTAACCTAATATGTATCGCCTCGTTTTATTGGCTTATATGTCGAATATAGTAACTACAAAAACTTTCTTAAAAGTCTTTATTGTAGAAGATAATCGAGAAAAAGCTTTCGATTGCGTTTAAATTAAGAAAAAATAAATAAAAAAAACTGGCTCTCTTTTTCTGTAAATAGTGTTAATAATACGCGGCCAAATTTAGAATATGTTTATAAATTATGCATGCAAAAATTCATACGGGATTTATTCTTTTATCCCCCTTCCACGCGATTATGATAATCGCTCTCTAAAAGAAGCCATTAGTAAGCTGTTTTTGTCACATGTTTTCGTGCGTCATCGAGATCTAAATTCATATTTTGATTCCAGAGCGGTTCGGGTCGCTAAATAAAATATTAAACGTTGTTGTTTTTTGTTACCGAATAGCTTTGCTTGAATAAATCTTGATTTATTTATTCGATGACGTATATTTTCTTTTATTTATTTACTTTTTTTGCGAATATCATAAGAAAGAAAGTAGATAAATTTTAGGAAGTTCAGATTTGCGAATAAGTTTTTATGTAATCTGTCCAAATATATTGATTAAATTTTGCCTTTAAACTGAACTGAGAATAATTTTGTTTTTTTACAATGCTGAATGAAGTTTTAGATATTTGTTGTTATTCTCCAATATTAATCATTATAATTGAAAATAACATATATATACAATATAATGATTTAGATATTTGTAATTTATTGCAGAATATTTATACAATGAAATGACACTACTCGAATAGAAATATCACCTACGCGTAAATGTATTCAAGAATTAGTAATTTTTATAAACAGAATTAATTTTTAAATTTAAATCAATAATTAAATTATTAAAAACTAAGACTTAATATCTGAAAAAAATTCAGATTATTGCACAGAAAAAATTATAAATTATTCTTCCAGAAAATTCCCTTAGGAACTTTTTAAGTATTTCCTGAAAGCTACAGATTATAAGAAAGAAGAAAGTGGTCTCTTCTTTTGTATAAAAGGTAAGAATACACAAAATGATAGAAGGTAGTGGCAGTCCCGGGAGAAAAATTATGTAGGACGTAAAGGGATAGTTTGGGCCTCGTGCCAGAATACACAGAATAAAAATATTTCTAAACTTGGGGCCCATTAAAGGAGGGCCTTAAACTTCATACTTTATTCTTAGAAGTCGAAAGTTTTATATATATAATTTTCTAATTTATGAAGAAAAAATTGCCAAGCCGTGCTAATAAATCTTAAGATGATAATCAACATATACGTTGGAAGAGGAGGAAGAAGGGGAAAAAACAAAATAAAAAACACTATTCAGCTACATCTTACTTATTCGATTTTCCAGTTGATAAAACATTGATTTATAACTTTAGGGGCCTTTTTCACCTTTATATCTTCTCTTTTGATTAGTCGGATGGATGCGTGGGATGTTATTTTATTGAGTCAGCACTTAACAAAAAAAAAAAACTGAGCAAAACCTGTTGTTGCTAAACAGGTGAAAATTTTACTCATAAATAATGTATTTTAGTAGCTGTTATAGGATTCTAATCAGATTTTCTAAAATAATTTTTCCTATGCCGCATCCTACTCGACGACAGTTTATAGTGCCGCTGTGCATAATTATTACTGAACTAGACATCATAAATTCATACTAGTACAGTCATTAAATAATGAAAAGTAACGGTATGACTTTACCTGTTGTAAACTACTTCCTCTTATAATACGGGTGCAGCTTGATTACGGATGATATTAATAACTACTAAATCTCAATACAACAGGAAAGATGCTACTCAGGAGAGAGAGAGAGAGAGAAAGTATGACAATCTGCTTCTAATGTTTTCGACATTAGAAGCAGACGTACAACTTCCATCTTTCAAACGATAACAAAACTGGCTTATCTAAAATGGAACCGAAACATAAAATTTCATTAAAAGTAAAAAATTCGAGCGATAAACCTTCATATAAACGCGATAAACATATATTTTTTTCCCTCTCTTCATATATTAATTATCATCTATCGAAGTTGTAACTAAGTTGGCCTATTAGAAATTTACAGGGGGCTAGAAAAATCGACGTTATTTATTATTATTTTTTTTTTTAATGGTTCATTTCAAGAAGTCCGCTTAAATTACAAAATTAAACAGATTCCCAACTGTCTAGATTACCGCACGGGTTTTAATTTAGTAAAAATAATGGTGTAAGAAAAAAAACTGCGATAAATTATATCGGGGTGGGAGAAAAGTCATTAGTTTAAGTCCTGTTGTCATAAGTGGCTACTTCGTTACCATAGGGCGTAGTTAAAAGACCAGTTACATCGTAGGGCCAATGAGACGATGTATACACACACACCCACTTGTACACTTTGTCATTCTTAACAAGGCCACACCTCGAAAATGAACTCTAGTGATTGACTTCCTACTGATTGGTATGATTTTCTTGTTTCAGATTAATAACGCTACTACCTTGTTTGCCACCGAAACTAATTTCCTCTCGGAATATTTTACTACCAAAAAATAATTTTTTTTTAAACGAGGGTTTGCGTTGAAGGCGAAAATATGGTTTTACGCCAAGTAAAAAAAGAACTGTTTATATTACATATTCCCCATTTTAAAAAAATGACCTAGATCGTTAACCCTGCTCTATTATAATTAGTAAATGCTCTTAAATTTACTGGTAACAGAAATTATTAGCTTCGAAATATCTCAAAATGTAGCGAAAATAAACATTTAGCAAAAGCAAAAAATAAAAATTTTAGAGGAAGTGGAATAAAAAAAGGGGGAAAAAAAGGGTAATTGGACTCCAAAAATATACTAAAACTTATGTTTTTGATTAACAGAAATATACTTAAACTATCTCACTGCTTAAGTAATATCTATAAGATTATTATTATTTATTAATTTTAAAAGTTGCAAAAATAAATAAATAATTTTTGAATATTTTTTTAGAAAAAAAATTTTTTTAACCTTTTTTTGTATTTGTTGCGTTGTCGTGACGTCACTGATGGGCGATATAAGGCGCTGCAGTCGACGCTCGTCTGTTTCGTCACGAGCTAGTTTGTCGGCTGCTACTTACGAGTCGGAAGAAATTTTTAGTTTTTTTTTCTTAATTTTTTTTAACATATCCCGGAAAAAGCATAAGAAAAAAAAACTACTTAAAATTTTAAATATAAACATGAATTTAAGGTGAAAAATAGTCATTTTTTTATTTCCTGGAATTGAGAGAAAAATGAGTAAAAACTGACAAATAATCAAGTAAGTAAGCGATTTTCTTAAGTATATTTAAGAGAAATATTTTACGTTAAATAACGATTCGGACTTTGATAAATTTTCATGATTTAAAGCTAAATAACTTCAATAAGGTTTTAATTTCCTAATAAACACGTTTGAAACACCGTTAAATGACTTAAAAATCCAATTTGGAAAATGTTTAAGGATAAATTAAACACTCACGCGCGTTAATAACGTTTATAAACTTTAAAAAAGCGCACTTTGAATTAAAGAAAAGAGAAAAAAAAGGAGGAAAAACTGGTGAAAAAATTTAATTTTGTTACCATGACAACCGATGTGCAACATCATATCACGTGATGCGGATAAGATGCGCTTCGTTGCGGACTACAAATTCCTCTTAAATTTTAATTTATGTTATAATTTATATCATAATCTCTTCTTGATGTTTGCTTTCAGTCACACGGACATAGATTGAATGAACCAGCTTATATTCTCTCTTTCTGTTTTTCTTCCGCCGCTTTTTTTCTTTATCTTCTCTATATCTCAAATTAATCTGTAACTAAATATCCTCCAGAGCTATAAAGTTGAAGGCTATATATATATTTTTTAAATTAACATTAATTAAATTACAAAACATTCATTAATATATTGATACTGTTTATAAATACCAATCTATTAATGAAATTGTAAAACAAGATCTTAACTTTAAAAATGCAAATTATTCATTTAAAACTGAGAAAAAAGGAAAAATAATCTGATATTTTAAGCTTTTCAAGAGTATTTTTCAATATTCGTTAATTGGTAAAGGTTAAAAATGAAATTTGGTAACGGAAACTGCATTAAAATTTTAAAATAAATAATTAATTTTAAAATGAATTTTTAATATTAGAGTATTAATTACTTTCGCATAAAGTAAGTAAAATGTGTTTTTAAATATTTTCATTGGTTTGGTCTCGAATAATTCATTATTAAAAGGTACAGTACACACAAATTAGCAAATATTACCTTTTAGAGTCAATATTAAAAAAGAAAGTTTTTTTCTTAGTGAATAAATATTTTATTCTATATACAAGTTTACGTAGAATGTGCTCAGTATTTATTAAAGCTCTTTTCTAATGAAAAGCCTTAGGTATTTATCAAAATGTCACAAATTGTTATCTTTATTTTTTTAAGAAATAGAGTAAAAATATTAACTGGAAATAGTTATAATTGTTATAAAGTATGTTACGAACTAATATATATCATTTTTTTACGCTTGCGAAATTAAATACATTTTCTACTCCATCAGAGAAAAATTTTTATTTTTCTGGTTTAAATTTTTTATAAAGAAGTTAGTTTAGTTTATATAAGACTGGCGAAAGTTTCATTAGACATAACAAAGAATTTAGTAAAAAAATTTATTTTAATTATTAATTATTTAATCTACTTAATCTTAGCATATATACCTTTATCAATAAATAATTTCAGTTTCTATTTACAATTTTTGTACGACAAAAACCTGAATTTTCATTCATTAAACGCATTCTAAAAATAACCTTTTTTATTGTTTAAATGTTGCTATTTTTCCATTGTATAAATTATAATTTGAGTAACTAGTTTAAAAAAGTTAATACTGATTGTATGTTACTTATGCTTATCTTTTTTAAAATATAAGTTTTTATAAAGATAAAAAAAAATCTGCACATAAAAAATGCCGAAAATAATACTTTTGGCACTTTAATTGACCATAAAACGGCTTAGCTCCAGGCAGCAATTGATTCGTAAGATAGCGTAATAGTTGTGCTATCATTAGCAGGTTATCAATTGGTAATTAAAATCGATAGAACCAGAAAACAAATTACTGTTATTATACAAATATTTTTTCTTGATTAGTGATCAGAAAGAAATGACGCTTATGAGGTATAATTTTTAGCAATTTTCTATATGTAACAAATAAAGAAAAAAAAAGAAAGAATTTTTCTTTCCTTCCTATAAAAGTCGCAATACAGGAAAATTTCTTTTTGAATGGATCCTGACAAAGCTTACAGGTATGATGCTGGTAGCGTTTTAGGACAGGTCTGGGTATCAAAGTTGCCCTCCTATGATGATCTATATATCACTCGGACGACACATGGAAGTTTAGCTGTTGGAAGTTGAACAAAGAAACCAGACAGTGAGCGATGAGCATCCGTTGATGCCCGAGGTATAAAAAGGATAGATATTAAGCCCGATGAATCATTGAATTTGTAAATGGTTCGCACATTCACAAAAAACACTCCTTCACGATTTGTCATTTGGTATTCCGGCTTATGAGGAACCCCTGATTAGTTTTTTCTTCCTATTTGATACTTTACTGTACAAATCGATTTTTATGAACTTCTAAATAACTTTACTTAGAAAAAGCGAATTAAATTATTAAAAATAATGCATTTGCAAAGTAAAATGGATATATTATCGAATTTAACAAAAGAAAATTTTTATAAATTTATTGTAGCTCAAAATATATTCCCTGTTTTGCCTCTTTCCAAATTTGGGTTGAGAGATAATAATCAGAAGGAAATTATATTAGCTAGAGAAAAGAAAAATATTCCATTAGTATTAATTATCTTAATTATAATTATCAGTTGCAGTCTACGTGATTTTTATTTTAATACATATTTCTAGTTCAAGTAAGTGTATCTTTTATGTTTCTAATGATTAACTATTGAGTTATTACAGAGACCATAAATAATTCTACTGAAAAAAGAAAATATACTTATCACACACAAACTACAAGCTGTTACAGTTTTCTCGACAAGATTACTTGAGTTATCTCTCTCATCAAATTTTTCTTCAAACAGATCGCTTCTTTATATGACAGTGCATTCGAAATATCACATATTGAGAGATAAGCCGAATCGCCCTGAAGCTCAAGAATTATCCATCCATAGGTGGGATGCAATTTTCACCTCACCCAAACAATCAGGTAATGATAGACTAGGCCTCTTGTGTCTGTTATTGGGAGGAACAGCTCCTATCTAGCTCGCAGACTACTGAGGTTGATATCTCAGGGTGTAATATCATTACCTTATTATATAGGAAAGCTGATGGATGATTGCTTTTTTGTTAGAAGTTATTAATAACCTTAGATAACTGTATTTTAAAGATTGCTCTTTTTTCCCTTTCTAAGATCGAGATAAATGGATGCATTCTATTCGATGCTCTGGATGATGATAGTAGGATTGTTAGGACCTGTTTTTAAAATAAAGGCAGAATGTAAGTATAACGATAATTTATTAAATAGTTTTAACATAAAAAATGGCTTTAATAAATTCAGAAATATTCAAAATACACACAAAAACCAATCAATCATATTTACTTTAAAAACGTTGATATTGATATATTTAAAAAGTAACTTCTATTCTTAAAACTTTCAGGAATTTTACAAAGAATTAATACTGTATATTAGTTCCGAATTCATTTGTTTAATAAAAATGAATATCGTTGTTTATTTTGAGAATATTTATAATTATTTAAAATGTAAAATAAGATAATGGTATAAGTTCTGAAAGCACAGAATGCTAGTTGGCGTAGGGAGATAACAATATTGCTTTCCAGAAGTTTAAATAAAAAATTTATGAAGATGAACGATGGCAAGAGAAGTGTAATCTACCATACAAACAACAACGATTTATTTCCATTATTTCAGTCATATCATACAACCAACTATACTAAAAGCAAAAATATTTCTTATCTGTTATATCCTGCAACAAAACAAGTGATAAAAGTTATTTTACCATTATTAAAATAAATTATTAATTTAAATCATTCATATTTTTCAGTTTCTTGAAAGAAGTTAATTAATTATCCTTAGTATCGATGTTACGTTGTAATTGTAAAAATTGCACTTACAGGGGGGGAATATTTTTAAATCGTGCTTCAGTAGAAAAATATTAAATTAAATTAAAAAATAAGGCCACGATTTATGATTGACGTCAAATTGAAAGTGTGGTTGTGCATTTTAAAATTATATCTGTTACAGTAACGGGGTGCAGCCAGCCTCTAGGTCTAATGTCAGGTTCAGTTAAAGATTGGCAGATCAGTGCCAGTTCCGTGTTGTCTTCTTCAAAAGAACCTGGGTGTCAGATGAGATATGCTAGGCTTTACCAGCTGAGTGGGCACGCCTGGTGTGCTGGACATAAATCCGCTTTCGAATGGATTCAAATCGATTTAGGAGTTGCAGCAAAGGTAAGAACTGTTCACCGATATAACAAAATGTGTGTATGTATATATGTATATATATCTGCTATGTGTAATTTTTAAATGCATTATATATTTTGTGCATATACATCATATTCATTCATTGAGATTTATTTTGGAATTTCTTTCTCCTTTTATATATATCAGGTGACTGGAATTATGACACAAGGGAGAGGAGACGGTAAACAATGGGTCACGTCTTACTTTTTATCTCATAGCTCCGATGCTTTTCATTGGAAATATTGTACGGATTCTTATGGAACAAGAAAGGTTAACTCATATCACATACATGCTTATAAAAATTAGATAATATATGTAATTTTTTATAAGCTATTAAATTTAATTATTAAACACAAATATAATACAGTATAATGGAAATTACCGTGTGAATATTAAATGTTTAAATTTATGTTATTTAATTTTAAATTGATTTTAATCTTGAATTAGTTATACCACAAAAATTGCTAAAATGAACAATAAAATATCAAAACTATTAATTTTATTTTTTAAATAAATGCAGGTTTTTATAGGAAATTCTGATTCTCATACAATTCAACAAAATTACCTAGATCATCCAATTAAAACACGATTTCTAAGATTGCATATATTAGAATGGAACGATCATCCTAGTATGAGAGTTGAAATTCTTGGATGTCAAGGTTGGTCCCGACTGTAGTAATTAATGTAGTTTATAATTAGTAGCGCCTAAGTGATAATTGTTCGATTATAGAATGCAACCAAATCATTAGTTTACCGCCACAAGCCAAAATGAGTGCCTCAAGTTGGAGACCATGGAACAAACAAAAAACTTGCAGTCCTGATGATGGTCACATATATAGTCAGAGTGGTTGGTGCGCTCGAAAGAATGACGGTCAGTGCAGGTGATTTTCAGAAATTCAGTCATGGCTATTAAATTTGTTTTAAGATATGTAATCTTATTTAAGAGACGAGACAATTTATTAACACAAACAATTAATTATCTATTTAAAATTACATATCATAATTTTACATTATTTTTAAAAATTAATTTCTTGAGATTATTATTATTATTATCATTATTAACGAATAATTTGTTGATAAAAACATCTTTAAAAGACCGGTAACTCGGTTTTCTCCATCCTTAAGTTATTTTGTCATTGACGAGACTACCCAGCTATTATCATTAACATTATCTTATCTGGGAAAGCTGATGTATCCATTAAAAAATGCTAATTGTAATAAAAAAAATATACAAATAGTTATTCATTCTGATTACATCGCTTTTTTCAGCCAATCAGTGGCTTCAAGTCGATTTAGGACCTCCTACAGTGGTTACAGGCTTAGTCACTAAAGGAAGAGGCGATAGTAAGAGAAAACAATGGGTGGCATCATTTCTTATATCATACAGCAATGATAGTAATATGTGGTACTTTTATAAAGAAGATAGTTACCTGAATCCAAAAGTCAAGGTATTATCAACATTGATCCGTTATTTATTTTAATATATATAGCCTATACAATTATTTAAAATTATTATTGCTTTATTGATCNATTTCTTATATCATACAGCAATGATAGTAATATGTGGTACTTTTATAAAGAAGATAGTTACCTGAATCCAAAAGTCAAGGTATTATCAACATTGATCCGTTATTTATTTTAATATATATAGCCTATACAATTATTTAAAATTATTATTGCTTTATTGATCTTGTAAATTACGATTTCAGATATTAAGGTAGTTAAGTCTTTATTAATGATTATATTTCTTAGTCGAATATTTCTAAAAGCGGTGTTTAAAATACAGTAAAAATTAATAAATTCATAAAATTATATTAATTTTTACTAATTAATAGTGAAATAATCTATAAAATACTATATTTAGTAATAAACAGAAATTAGTTTTTAGTATGATTTATTTTGTTTTACTAAATAAATTATTGTTAGAATTTCTTGTGTTTTTATTTACCTTTTCACTTTTTAAGTTGAACATATTTTAGGATCAAGTTTCATGTAAATTGCAGATTTCTATTTAAAATAAAGACAAACTTTTTAAGACTTTATTTTCACTTTACTAACATTATATTAGCAGAACGATTTGTTTACGTTAACTTCAAAATACTCGTCTTTCAAATTCTGTGAAAATTTAAGGAAAACAAAAATGTTTTATTTTTGGCACTTAAGAAAAATGCTTAATACAGTATGGCCATATAAGTTTAGGAATACATTTTTTCAATTTATTTATATTTTTTATGTGATTTATAATCACTATATAATATTCAACGAGCAATTATTTACTGTGACATCGTCACAATGCCGGGCTGCAATTTTTAATCATATTTATTTAATTTAAAATATATGCTCTCTACCTCAAATTAGTAGTGTCTTGCCCCGTACATAATACTTTTCCTGTTAGCAATAGCGTCAGGGCGGTCATCTACTCGTATCTAACTTCTTTCAGGGGAAAATATTTTAATTAAAATAACTTGATGTATAGTTAGCATCAGAAGTTTGTATATAGTTAATCGTGGCCTCCTGTACCTAATCTTTCCATATCTGGTTTCGGCTTTCACCTATCTGACTCCGTTGTCGAGATTAAGGAAGCACAGACAGACGGACGGACTACAGTGGAAATTTATAAGTTACAATTTTTTCAACTTACATCCCAAATACATTTCGCTTAAATTTTCTTATTATTAAGTCATATTACACAAATTTCCCTTTACAGTATAAATTACAGTGAAATAATAATTTGAATTTAAGTTCACTTTCAATTACTTTCAAAGGATCAAAATGTTTATTTTATGCAGTTAAAACACTTATCTAATTTTATTTATGAAACATATTTCTTTTATACTTAATTTGTTTCTTGCGTGACAATTTATATCAATAAAATCAATAATTGGTTTAATGGTAATGCAAATTTTTAAAAAAGATATCATTACCTATTTTTGCAGTAATTTAAATTAAATTAAACATCTGAGAAAATGTGTGTTCAGATAATGTGATATAAAATTAAAATTATTACTAGGTTTTAATTATTATTAAATTATATTAGGTAATTATTATTATTTATTTATGTTTGTACATAACTCTTTTCTAGTATAAGTAATGATCACTTTTATTTAATATAAAATTTAAAACCAATGAAAATATTCCATTTTAGCATTATTCAATGTTGAAGTTAACTTGGCTAAAATATCATTAGAATATATCCATAATAAAAGAACCGATAGATCGATAAACTAACCGGTTGATTTTGTACGTTTAAAAAATCTCTTTTGTAGAAATCTTATACATTATTATCAATTATATAAGTCTAAACAATTATTATTTATTAATTCTTGTTAATTACAATATGATGCTTCATTGTGTGTGTTTTCTTTTGATATTTGCATTTATAAGTTTTTATGTTACATCTCCTTTCTTAATAAATCATTAAGTAAGGAGATGTAACGCAAAAACTTATAAATTTAAATATCAAATATTAAATATGCGTTTAAAATTTAAATTTTTAAAATGCGAAATATAGCAAAATATAGACTCGAAATATTTTAGATAATTTAACACATTTCATTTTTAAAATAAAATGTGTTAAATTGCTCTTTGAAAACTAATCTTTTATTTTTTAATGTTTTATTTTAAAAAAATTCTTTAGATATAATTTTTCTTTCATTTCCATTTTTCATGTAATCTAAAGAGTAAAAGTGATATTTTTAGAGAATAATAGGATATTCAGCTCTCATTTTATATAAAATATTTAATTATGCATCATTTGTTTTTGCTAAAAAATTTTTTATTGAAGTAACATTTAATTATAAAATTATAAATAATTCAGATACAATATTCTTAATAGGAATTTGGTGGAAATATGGATAAGAATACGGAAAGGCATCACTATTTAAATCATCCATTTGTGAGTCGATATGTAAGAATCCATCCAACTTCATGGCACGGGAGAGTCAGTTTAAGATTGGGTGTAATTGGATGTCGTCATACAGGTAATTTCAATTACATTTAATTCAAAATATAAAATATGATATAATATAGCTATAATTGGAAGTATAATAAGTTACGATAAAACAAATATACTGTATTCTTATAGTATGATCATGCAAAAATCAGAAAAATCATTAGTTAAAAAAAGTAATTTTAAAAATGAATTGTTTATAAATTCAATAAACAAGAATTATTTTATCAATTCTTTCTATTCGCAATGGAAATCTTCAGTAAAACAATGTTAAATCTATAAATAAACTTTACTATTACGTTTATATTTCGTGCTTTCTATTTTGTTTTACATATAGGGATTTCATAGATTTGAATAAATGCAAATATATTAAACATAATAGAATATATGAATTATATAAAACAACTTACTTTCAACTTTTATATCCTTTCTGGAGATTATATAGTCAATGAAAGCAGTTCACGTTTAATGAAAGCCTTAGTATTTGTAAATATTCAGTAATAAATATTATTAAAAATTTAACCGAATACGATAATAGTATTAAGTAATGTTTACTTTTCAGGTGATTGTGGTCCAGGATTTTTCAGAATACATGACTGTACAGAATGTGGTAAGTAAAAATAAATCAAACTAAAACGATAACATCATAAACAACTTCGTGTTATCAACATTCCTTTCTATTTTCTAGTGGAGAATTTAGCTTATCAAAAAGAAACCTGGGTAAACGATAAAAGACATGCCTGGGTTGGATGGAAATATGGACATTCTTCTTTTGCTGTGGATGGAGAAGCAGACAATCAACTTCAAAAATGTGCTATTCTCGATAACTATTATGTGGAATACCCGATTTGGATGGTTGACCTCGGACAAAAGAGAACTATACGCGGTGTCGTGATTGTCACTTGGCAGGGTAAAGGTCAGGGTAAGTTAAACCTTTACGTGATTGCTTCATTTGCTGGAGTGATTGATTAACAGTAGAAACAATGAGACTCCCTTTATACTCAATCATTTTCATTAAGTAGACGCCCTTTAGAGATTTCAATTGTTCTACCAATCTACAATGGTAATTAAAAAATCCTAATACAGCTCATGCAGAACAAATATTTTTTTGTATTTTCAGATCGAGCTACTCCTTACAGAGATTATGTTTATAAATTAGATAAATTAACAGTTTATGTGGAAGATAAGCCCAGATTGGAATCCATTATAACTGGCAATAAATGTGGATCTGTATCGAGAATGAACGGAGCAGTTTTTCGTAAAAGGATCCTCATCGACTGCCCAGCTAATATGAATGGCAGGTACATATACGTTAAAGCCACAGGAGTACCTAACAGGTGGAGTCGCCTATATTCTGCTGTTCTATGCGAAGTTCTAATTTACTAATATTCTTTCAATTATATGTACAGTCATCTAAATACCTCATATCGACGGGGCTTATGGTGCCATCATTATAATTCATCTTTAACATTTAACAAATTCTAAGTGTTTTAACTTATTAAAATATTCATTTCATCCAAATTTGTTTTGGAATATATACAATATATATATTTTTCCCAACTTGACAATGACTGCAGTCATCGACAGTGCAAAGCAATAACGGTTTTTTCTTTTTTGTGAAAAATTCATTCGAAGTCTTCCTTTTGTCACTGTTGATGTTCGTTCGTTGTAAAGTTTGTTTTAAACTTTAAAAAAAGAGAGAGAAAAAGTAGATTTTTGTCTAATCAATAATGAATTAATTACATTATGCAAATTCAGAAACTCTGTAATAGTAATTCAATTAATAAAATAGAATTATAATCATGTGGATTAATATTTTAAATTACGAAAATTATAGTATGATTCGATTGGCACTGTTAACAAATTAATATATATGAATCATATTATGATAAATTGAGATACTAATTAATTAAATTATTTATTATTTTAATTAATACGTCCTAATAACTGTATATTAATTATAATTTTAGAAACTACTCGCATTGTAGGTTTAGATGTATTTTTAATGAATGATTATAACTAAAATAGACCTGCAATTTAATTTACAAATATAATTTCATTTTACAAATAACTAATTATTTATAATAGTGATATGATAAATTATTCAATTATTTACCACAGATCCTGTAAAAATGATTAATTAAAAATAACTCCACAAAAGTTATATTATTATATTTTTTCATGTTTATTTATATACAAAAATGATTTTTTACTTAACAATTTTATTAACTTTTTTAATCAAAAGTTAGTTTTCAAAACAGGAAAGTGGCAGAGTGCGGAGAGACAAGAATATTTTTCGTCATATGATTTGTTTTATGTAGAAATATAACAAAATACTTATTCTATAAACTTATTCTAAAACAATTAAACATGATTGTTGTAAAATAAATAATTCTTGTAGTGTCATCGCTACGTGACGTTGCTTTAAATTTAAAAATAATTTAAATGAAATACAGTAACATTCAGAAGTTATATTTTTAAAAGTACGGTCTTTTTGTATTAGTTTCGTTCGATATTTCGATGATCAATGGTTTTTCTTGTTTTTTTTTTTTTTAATTCAAAGATCTTACATATCGTTTTGGAAAACAGCTACACTTTGCTTTGAAAAAGAACAAAAACGACTTTCCTAGTATGTCTTTTACACGTAAATTAATTAATAGATTTAAATTTATTACATTTATCAAACATTAAATAACAACAAAACAATATATAAACTTTATAAGAAAGTCTTAGAAAGTTACATTAGTATTTTTAAACAATATTTAACCTTAAACCTTAATATCCTTACCGGTTAACTAGTTGTAAATAAAGGTGAAAGAATACAGATGCGTATTCTAAAAATTGCACAAATTTAAATACGTTTTCTGGTCATTTCGAATAACTGTACATGCGAACGAGATAATCAAATCATTCCAGGAAGAATTTATGCTAATTTATCGAAAAATTTTTAGTAAATAACGTTCCATTTTGAAAATAAAAGGATTAATTAAATGAATTCGATCGAAGAAATATAATTGGCAGATTTTAAACTAAAAATCATAAAACTAAAAAATCGTGTACAGTTACACATATCTGTACAAAGGGAGTTTTTTGGCACACAGTGTATATCACCATTACAAAAGTTTAAAGCAAAGGAAACCTGCAGAAATAAGAAAGCGAAGTGGTCGAAAGAGGAGGAAAATGACTGAAAAAAAAAGAAGAACCAATTGGAGGAAGAAGCCTTGAGACAAACACTCAGAAAATTGGGAAGAAAGTTCAAAATTTCACACGGGCATATTTGCCGGATTTTGAAGAAAAGTCAACTGACTCCCAAGAAGCGAAAGTCAACCAAAATGCACGACGAAGCAACTTATTACTCAAAAAATCCTTCTGAGGAAGCTGCATGGCGGAGTCTTGAAGGCGTCAAACAACCTCGATGTGGTTATGGGCGAGTCCTATTTCACTTTTGACTGAAGTGAGTGATGGTAACAATTTCTATTTTGATCAGAAAAGGATTGGATTCTTAAAGGTGCATCTTTAAGTCAAATTCAAACGACATTCCAAGTGTTCGCCAAACCTTCTGGTTTGGCTGGCAATCAGTTGAAAGAAACGTTCATGAGCCTTCATTCCCCTCAACGACTCTCCAACACCAAAGAAGTGTATAACAACGAATGCATTCAGTAAAGGCTGGCACCTTTCCTAAAATAAATCCTATCTTAACTAAGGTTGTCTTCTGGCCAGACATATTAACGCTTACGACAAAGTTGCCAAGTTGGACCATTGCGGAATTTGATACATTAAGTTTCAAACGTTCTGCAGCTGAGATCGATTAAGAGATTTTGGTCTAACTGAAGCAAAAAGTTTACGAAAATGGTTGGGAACCTGGATCCGCGAAAGAGTTTTAGGACACGATTAAGGTTCAAACTACCATTTCATAGCTGACCACTTCCGGAAATTAATGGAATGAGTCAAGACAAAATTCCTAATTGCAATCGATTGCAGACCTGCATTTCATTCATTCGAACGTAAAACAACCTATCTCTACCTACCTATCCAAAAAACCGCCTAATTTTAAATAACTTTATAGTTTGTGCAGGTTTTTAGAATAGACGTTCTTTCCCATATAAACTTTAATATCTAAAAATATAAATATGTTTAGATTAAATTAATAATATCCGTAAAAACATATGTCACATTTTTCATTTGTTTATTTAAGCATAGACTAAATTAAAGAATGAAAATTTTTTGTCCAATAAATCATTTTATATCTTCTTATAAAAATTGCTTTATTGGAGCTTTTAAGTCTAAAAATAAAACATATTTACGTTTTTAAGTTAATAAAGTATCTTGGTCAAAATCTCGAAAATTTCTGTTTAAACTATAAATAATTTTATAAGTTTTATAAATTCAAGGGCTTATTTAAATAAGTATAATTTCCGTAAGTGTATTATTTGTTAAACAGTATTTTCTAGATTAATTTTATGAAAGTTTTGCAAATTATAAATTAAAATATTTTATTTCATTCAGCAATTTTTTTTCAGTGTTTAGAAATGACCATTAAGTGGAATATGAATATCAATATATTAAACAACATCAATTCTTGTATTAAATAAAAAGTAACATTTTAAAAATAAAATTTAAATATTTTTATATACTGTAGTCAAAATATTAATTAAACATATTTTCTTGATATTACAATTTATTATTAATGAAATGATCGTCAAAATCACTGGTTATTTGTAAATTAACACGTTTTTTATGTATAGAAATTTAAAATTACCTTATTAAATAATCTCATTTTACAGAAAGAAAAGCAGATTGTGTATTAATTGAATATCGATTCAAAGATTACAAGAATCGAAAATAAAAAGTTAAGATATGAAATAAATAAACAGAATAGTAATTTAAAAAGTAATGAATGGAAGGTGTTGAAATTCTCTGCAAAAACATCAATAACGTACTGCCATCTGTTGATTATAAATTAAACTAACTGTTGAAAACTCGTTTAGTGATCGGATTACATAGGAATTTCACTGTTACAGTGTTACATAGGACGCACAAATATATGTCTGTCATAGGTACTGGAATCAAATACTGATATCCTGAATCTTAAATATTACCAGGCTAGATTAACCCACTTTGGACCCCTAGACATTTTCTTCTTACAGGGCCCCCTCCCTCTCCCACAAGAAATAGAGCACACATAAAATATAAAACAATAAATAAAACACAACTAAATAATGTGAAAAACTAAAACAAATATTAAATTTTTATTAATAAAAAATATTTAATATACAACAATAAATTTTAGTTTTTCTAGAAACAGTTTGACCGGGCCCTAGACATTTGTCTTATTTGTCTATGCAATGATCCTAAATATCGTGTGATACGAGCTGTATATCTGTAGAGGAAGGTCGGATAGTATTGGACAAGTGTTGTTTCTAACATATGCTGCAAGTAGCAGAACCTGTGAAGACACCAGAAAGTCGGGTGGATAAAGAAAGTTCAGATTCCGCTATATTTAGTCAAGCAGCAGTGTTGTTGACACGTGGTAGAAATTTTTTTTTTTTTAATAGTATTTTGAGTGAACGACGATAACTTCTGGTTGTCATAGCTTGCCTGAAAATGAGAATAAGTTGTTCTTTTGTTTATTGTTGAAAACGACAGTTATTGTTCTTTAACATGTAGGCCGGAAATCTTAAGCTTACTAATACGTATGTGGTAAGAGATGTTTTGTTCCATGATGTTGCGGGTTGTATCGGACAAAACTGTTGCGGTTTGTATGGGACAGAGGTGTTACGGGTTGTATCGGAAACAGTTTAAGGTTGATAAGAATTATATTCTCACGGAAATTTTTTTATTTTACGAGACAATATGGATAAACTACGGCAGAAGAAAGGAAAGAAAGAAGTAAAAAAGAATCTGTTCAGCTAAGAGAAAGCTGCTGGGGGAAAATCGTCTAAATACAGACAAAGAAAGAAAACAGTAAATTAAGAGAAGAGAGAAGACCAAGAGATTCGCTGCATCATCCGTGGTGAAACCTTTGAAAAAGACTGGATTTAGTGTAGGATTTGTGTAGGTTGGGCTCATGAAAATTGCGCCGATCTTGAAGGAAACAATCTGTTTTATGAATGTGATGTTTGTATTACAAGAAAAAAAAAAAAGTAAACACAGAATACATTTGTCATTAAAATGAATTGTTAAATTTTCAGACTGATAATTTTTTAATTTTTCTCATTTATGCCACTTTCTTATTATGTATTAACTTAGTTTTACGACCTGTAATTTATACTTTTATAAATTTCTCAAAAATAACTCTACCTAATAATAAAAAGTTGTTTGTGAAACCAAAAGTAATTCTCTTCTTACAGATTTTTCTCATGTTCGATACAACCCTCCACAAGTAAAATTGATAAAAATGTAATGACTGTAAAAAGTGTAAAAAAATTATTATTAATATTTTTATCTTAGAAAAATGTATTTTAACAGGTGTTTTTATAGAACAACGAAGTTTTGTATGGAATGTAATTTGGTCCAATTGAGCTGTAAAAATATTTTATAATACTGTATAGGAGAAGCTTAGGTGTCAGATACTACCTGACGTTGCGTTTATTTAAAGTTATTTAGAATTGCCGCTGATAACAGATTCCAATGCCAACAATTCCATTTGTGAATAAATAGGAAAAAAGGAGTTAAAATTTGAATTCTGAAAAAATAAATAACAGTAAAATTTAATTTGTTTTTTGCTGTTATTGTTGTTTTTACGACAAACATGTGATAATAGCTCTAAATAATTTACAATATTATTTCAAAACTTTATTTTT